AGAGGGGCGGTGGGGACGGGTTTGAGCGGCGCACAGAGGGGCAGTGGGCGGGTGTTTGTTGTTGCCATTGAGACCGTTCCGGGAGGATTCTGTGCTGTTCCTTTTCTCGGTGCCCAGGCTCATGTCGGCCAAACCCAGGCTCCTGGTTGTTCTCAGCGCTGCTGCTGAAGGTAGGTTAAAGTCTGGGCCGGCAATGTGTGTCTCAGCCTGAGCTTCAACCTGTCATAGGTTCATTCTGATGGGGGGGGGAGAGGAAGTGCGGGGTTTTATTGATCATTCATTGACTGAATAACAGCCTGTTATTCATGTCATAGTACCTTGATCAAAATGTAAGTCCGTGGATGCTTTTCTTTAAAAAATTAAAACATCTAAATGAACGTTATCGTATGATTCTGGGCACTGAGTAGCAGACTATTCAATTGTGGGCGATCTTGCACTCTTCCATCACAGGTGAAAACCGTTCAACCCCTTTTAAAGAGCAGTCTGATTAGTCCCAACAGGCCAGGCAGCATTAGAGGAGCTGGAAAGTTGCCATTTCGGGTATTGAAGAAGTGTCCCAACCCGAAATGTCAACTTTCCTGCCCCTCTGATGCTGCCTGGCCTGCTGTGTTGTCTCTGACTCCAGCATCTGTAGTTCTTGCTATCTCTGTCAGATTAGTCTTAGTCCTTTACTCTTGTCTAGCATATAAACAACTTGCTAATTCTATTATAAAAAAAGAACTGTGGATGGTGGAGATCTGAAACGACAAACAGGAATTTCTGGAGGAATTCAGCAGGTCTGAAGTAGGGCCACTGGACTTAAAACACCAAGTCTGTTTCCATTGCCACAGATGTCGCCACACCTGAATTTCTCCAGCAGTTTCTGGTCTTGTGTGTAGCTCATTCTGTTATTGCCCAAGTATTGACACCGAAGTATCTTCTAATAAGTGAGCAGCCTTTTTGGGACCATAGTGACTTTACCTTACTTTAATAGCAACTAGCACAAAGATTGGTTAATTTCTATTTTAGTACCTCTGCTGCTGCAGACCAGAAATGTCATTTGTAATCTTCCTATACTCACTGCTGAGATTAGCTAACTTGAAGTACATTGGGTATGAAACTTGATGCATGGATTGAGTACCATTGAAAGTGGTTCGTGTACTGACTGGACCTCTCTTTCTTTGCCTTTGGAATATAGGAAAAGTAGTAAGGCTCTCCTTGAACCTGTTCCACTATTCAGCAACATAATGACTGATCTGCAGTCTATCTCCATACAATTGCCTTTGCCTCTATATAAAGACTTTAGAACTGAGACAGGAGGAAGTGCTGTTAATCAAGCCTCATTACTCCACCAGTCTAACTAATTATGAAAATGGCCAATTGTTTCTCTTTTGTACTATCCAAACTATAATAAACATTGAGATAACAAGGTGTAGAGCTGGATGAACACAGCAGGCCAAGCAGCATCATAGGAGCAGGAAGGCTGACGTTTCGGGCCGAGACCCTTCATCAGAAATGGGGGAGGGGAAGGGGGTTCTGAAATAAATAGGGAGAGAGGGGACGGCGGA